GGAAGGAAGGAAGGAAGGAAGGAAGGAAGGAAGGAAGGAAGGAAGGAAGGAAGGAAGGAAGGAAGGAAGGAAGGAAGGAAGGAAGGAAGGAGATAGTGAATGAAAGGAAATAAAAATAGTGAAAGGAAAGAAAAAAGAGAAAGAGGAAAAAAAAAAGACAATAAAGAAAGAGAGAAAAAACGAAAAGCGAGTTTGAGGTCATGACTAAGACTGAATCAGTAACTTCAGGAGGTTCAGGTGATCTGATCTCCAGTTTAGGAGCAGCAGTTTAGGAGCCAGAGTGGTGAGGCTGGATAAGGAATGTTGGCTGTGGCACTCGGTGCTCTGGGCTGGTGACATGGTGGGGATTGGTCACAGGCCCTTGGCCAAAGTCCCTCTGCATCTTTCCTGTGGCTCCTTCAGGCCCTGCMAGGCCACCCTAAGCTCACCCCAAAGCTTCTCTCCAGATGAACATTCCCAGSTCTCCCAGCCTTCCCTCCCAGCAGAGCTGCTCCATCCCTCTGCCCATCCTGGAGCCTCCTCTGGGCTCCTCCAGCACCTCCAGGGTTCTTCCAGCTGCTCCAGGGCTGGGGCAGCTCTGCAGTGGGGKCTCACCTGGGCACAGGGGCACGATCCCAATCCTTTTCCTGCTGCCCACACTKGGGCTGAGCCCAGGGCATGGGGATTTGGGGCTGTCAGGACATGTGCGATGGTTCTGTGAGGGGCTGGAGTGAGCTTGGGATGGATCCTGGAGGACGGAGAGATCACATCCTGGGCTTGGGAGGAAGAGGTCAGAGCTCCTTCCCTTTGTGGCACATGGACAGGATCTCTGGGAGTGTCCCAGTGACACGGGTGGCACTGGCTGTCCATGGGACTCCTCCAGACAGGTGACCTTTCCRTCCCCAGTAAGCTTGTGAAGGTCCCTGTGTCACTCAGGAGCTCTGTCCCTTTGAACCCCATCAGAGCAGAGTTCCAGGGCCAGCCCAATCTGTGTGGCACGGCCAGGGACCCCTGGCACCCAGGGGTGGCACCCAGGGGGTGTGTCACCATGGRAGGGACCCATCTTTGGTGCCAATTCCCAATCCGTGACCTTGCCATGAGATCCAGTGTTGGGGAGGGGTGGGGGGTTGATCCTGCAGGATTTGCTGTGGCTGGCACCGCCCAGGGCCGAGCTGACCATCTGTCTGTCCCCAGGGTGTGACATACTGCGGGGACAGCGCTGCCAGCAGCCTGAGCATGGCCAACGTGCCGTGGCACGGCGAGGTGCTGGCCTTCACACAGGAGCTGGCACAGCTGCTGCCCGACTACGGCATCGCCTGCGAGCACGAGCACTCCAACTGCCTGCTGCTGGCACACAGGAAGGTGAGCTGAGGGGCACGGGGTGTGGGCAGCACACACACACATGGCTGTGCTTCCTAACGGGCCAAAAGTCCTTTGTTCCGTGAATCAGCCTCATTTATTCACCTTTGCATGTTCTCATTGGTGTTASACATTCATTGGCCRCCAAACTGCCCCAGCAGATTCCTTGGGTGTCGTGTAACTGCAGCACACCACCAYTGGTCACTATAGCACTCACAAAAACACCTGGTGCAGCTTTGGTGCTGTTCTTCTCCTTCTGTTGTTTAAATTTTTTACTTCTGTTGATGCCACATTCTCACAGGTAGAAATACCAGCTCTATCCCTTGTTTCTCWSGGTTATGGAACTTGCCTTTCACGTCTAGTTCAGCTGAATCATTCCCACAGTTGGCCAAAGTGACAGGAGAGAGCAGGRGTTTTCCAAGGGTAACAAGGCCCTTKTTTTGTAGGGTTTTRCTGATCCCCAGYACCAGRGTGYCTCTTGGGAGCTGCTGCAYCATTGCCCTGTTGGCTTCTCACAAACGTCCTCTCTGCAGTCACCGTGGGATTGTTGAGGGTGGAAAGGCCCTCTGGGGTCATCGTGCTCAGCCCAGCYCTGCCCCCTGTCCCCAAGTGCCACATCCACAGGGCTGTTAAACTCCCCCCTGCCCCAGGCAGCCCATTCCAAAGCTTCCTGAGCCTCTCCAGCCACTGGGAGGAGAATCCATGGGGCCCCCAGGATTCCAGCCATTCCCATCCCCCTGGATCCCATTTTCAACCCAGGGATGCCCTGGTGTTCTCCTGTTTATCTGAGCCTCCTCTCCAGAGGCAGAATCATCGTATTGGAATCAGAGAATCATGGAATYCTTTGGGTTGGAAAAGCCCCCCAAGATCATCGAGTCAAACCATCCTCCAGCACTGCCAAGGCCACCACTGCCCCCTGTGCCCGAGTGCCACATCCACAAGGCTGTTAAACCTCTCCAGGGATGGGGACTCCACCCTGGGCAGCTGTGCCAGGGCTGGACCAACCTTTCAGTGACGAAATTTTCCACAGTGTCCCCCCTGCCCCTGTCCTGGCCCAGCCTGAGGCCGTTCCCTCTCCTCCTGTCCCTGTTCCCTGGGAGCAGAGCCCGACCCCCCCCTGGCTGCCCCCTCCTGTCAGGGAGTTGTGCAGAGCCACAAGGTCCCCCCGGAGCTTCCTTTGCTTCAGGCTGAGCCCCTTTCCCAGCTCCYTCAGCCATTCCTGGGGCTCCAGACCCTTCCCAGCTCCATTCCCTGCCCTGGACAGGCTCCAGCCCCTCCAGGTCTGTATTGTCCTGTTGTGCCAGTTTCTCTGGGCACCCTGTGCCAGGCCCTCACCACCCTCATGGTAAAGCACATTCTCGTATATCCAATGTAAACCCACCCTGCTGCTGTTTGAGTCCATCCTCCCTTGCAACAGGTCCTGCCGGAGAGGTTTGGCACCATCTCCCCTTCAAGGACTGGGAGGGAAATGAAATGAAATGCCAGAAAAAGAATTCATTTGAAAGGATACAGGAAATGAAAAATAATGAGTGAATACTTGCTTTCTGAGATTCAGAAAAGGTGAATAGAAAGAAAGCAGAAATATAAAATAATGTGCCAGCTGGGCACCTGATGGAATTGTAGAATGGTTTGGGTGGGAAGGGACCTTAAAGCCGATCCCACTCCATGGCAGGGACACCTCCCACTGTCCCAGGCTGCTCCCAGCCCCAATGTCCAGCCTGGCCTTGGGCACTGCCAGGGATCCAGGGGCAGCCACAGCTGCTCTGGGCACCCTGTGCCAGGGCCTCCTCACCCTCACAGAGAGGAATTTCTCCTCACTATCCAACCCAAACCTACTTTGGWATCTGCAGAGGGCCCAGCTGGGAAGGAGCAGAGAAAACTAGGACACCTGGCACTGGCTGTGTTTGAACTCACCTTAAATTGGCTTTATTTACAATCTCACTYCTGGCTGTTGCCACTGGCAACTGCTCCTGAGAAAGCAAAATCTCCATTTGCATTGTGGGGTCCAGGCAAAGCAAACAAACAGATTGCAGGAGCTTCTGCAGGCAGGACTGAAGTGACACCATGGGCAAGGGGAATAAATTGGTACCTGCCCAGGAGGAATTCAGCAGCTGCTTCTGCTTCCACAGCCATTAGCACAGGCTGTCTGTGGGAAACAATCTGTGCTCACTGCTAGAATAGCTAATAAAAAATAAATTTATTTCCATTATGGTTTAATTTTTCAGTTTCAGGCTCTAGTGGAGAATAAAATCTGTCAATGCCTATTATTTGCAGGAAAACYTGTGCTCTGGGATTGATCAAGCTGCAGTGAGTAATTGCAAAATCAAGGGGGTCTTTAAAAAATTAAGGAGTTGCAGAAGAGTGTAACAAAAATCATTAAGAAATGTGATTTATTTGACTGCGGTCTCCTAGGTCTGAGGCTGGAGGTGTTCAGACAATGYTCCTGATAAATTTAATGGTGCTGTTGGATGCCAGGCTGTGGGAAGGAGTCTGGGAATGTCAGGAACAATTCCTGCAGCTGCTGCCTGGGATGGATGTGCCTCATTGATTGGCAGCTGCCCGTGATGAGTGATGGCTCAGGACTGGAGCTCTGACATCTCTTAAGGGCAGGGATTTAGAGGGAACAGGGATTTTAGGGAGAGCAAAGTGCAGGTTTGAAGTCTGGTGTGATTTTCTTCTCTCTGGAGGTCACGGGGGGGGCACTGAGATGGGAACTGGGGCATTTTTGTGACCTTCAGTGTCCTAAAATCTCCCATTCAGCTCCCAAGTCTGTTCCCACTCACAATTCCCATTTTCAGCAGTGGGTTCTGGTCTCTGGAGTGTCTGCAGGTACATCTGAGGTGTCCCTGGGAGCTTTCAGCCCTCGAGGAGTGGTAGCTCCCATCTCAACCTCAGAGGGCTTTGGATCCCAGTGGGGTTCAAAAACTCCTAAAAACCAAAGTCTTATAGCAAAAGTTTTGATTCCCACTTAACCCTCACAGAGCCATAAAGAGATGCCTGTGCCCTGCATCCCATGGCCGGAGAATCCCTTTGTTCCTGGGATTTCTGTGGCTTTGGGGTCTCAGCTCCTCGGAATCCCACTGTGGTTTGGGGAAGGACCTCAAAGCCATCCAGTGCCACCCCTGCCATGGCAGGGACACCTCCTGCTGTCCCAGGTGCTCCAAGCCCCAGTGTCCAGCCTGGTGTGGGTGGGGTCCTGCTGGAGCCTGAGGGATGRGTGGGGGCAGCCAGGGCTCCCCAGGGTGGCAGAGCTGCTCTTCCCTGCCCTTCCTGCCTCCCAGCTTCCCCTTGGTTTCCTTTTCTCTTTGGGAKCTCCCTGGTGTGGTTGGGCTCCTCTTTGATTCCTTAGCGACAGTGATGAGTTCTTGAGTAATTCTCCTTGCTTTCGAGTAAATCCCATAAACCATGGCCACAAAAATGGGATTTGTGGCACCACTTTGAACTGATGGGCTGAGATATCGACACAGCAGCCACTTCTGATGTAACAGCTAATTCCAGGGACCTTCTCCARAGAGAGGCCCGAGGCTTCTGCTGTTGCTGGGCTGGAGCAGTGAATGTTTCCCCCAAAGGGCCATAAGGAGCTCCTGAGAAGGGGGAAGGGGCTGCAGCTGCCCCTTGCGGTGACGATTTCTCTGGAGTAAATTCAGTATCTCAGTAATTCCTGGCCTAAAGCCTGTGCCCCACAGTGTGGGTTTTGCTTTCCATGTGTCCTGTCCTTATCCCAGAGCACTTCCTGGCAGTTCCATCCCCTTCTGGTCATTAACCCTCTCCCCCCTGGAGCAGGTCAGTCGTTTTCCAGCTCCCTGGGCCTTCACAGCCATTTCTGTCAGTGCCATGAGCTGCTGCTGCCCTGGCATCCCAGAGCTGTGGGACAGAGCAGAAGGGTTCCATGGCTGGGCACCCCTGGGGTGACTCCCATGTCCCTCGGCCATGCACAGCCCAGGGAGTGCTCCTGCAATTCCAGAGGTTTCGGCTCCCAGGGAACCTGAGCAGGGTGGGCTCAGCACTGTGCTGCCCCAGCTTTTCCCACTATAATTCCTCAGAACCCTGGGATTGGGTGGGAACTCCTGGGGCAGCGGGAGGCGCCYGTGCCCGTGGCAGTGGGTGGAACTGGATGAGCTTTAGGGTCGCTTTCCACCCAAAGCATCCCAGGATCTGTGGGGCTACAGTGATGGGGGATCACAGCCCCTCCCAAGGAGATGCTGTGGCTGTGGGATTGCCTGGCCAGGGGTGCCTGTCCCTTCCATCCGCCAGGAATTGTCCTTGTCCTGCCTGGGGGGGATGGGATGGGCCCGGGAGGCTGTGGGTGCGTCCAGTGGGTGTGTCTGAGTGTGTCTGGGTGCGTCCAGTAGGTGTGTCCAGGTGTGTCTGGGAGGCTCTGGGTGTGTCCGGTGGGTGTGTTCTGTGGGTGTGTCCAGGTGTGTGCGATGGGTATGTCTGGGTGTGTCTGGGTGGGTCCTGTGGGTGTGTCTGAGTGTGTTCAGGTGTGTCCAGTTGTGTCCAGGTGTGTCCAGATGTGTCCTGTGGGTGTGTTCAGGTGTGTCTGGGTGGTCTGGTGGGTGTGTCTTGTGGGTGTGTCCAGGTGTGTTTGGGTGTGCCCAGGTGTGTCTGGGTGTGTCTGGTGGGTGTGTCCATGTGTGTCCAGGTGTGTCCGGTGGGTGTGTTCGGGTGTGTCTAGGTATGTCCGAGTGTGTCCAGGTGTTTTTGGGTATGCCTGTGTGTGTCCAGGTATGTCTGAGTGTGTCCAGGTGTGTTTGGGTATGCCTGGGTATGTCCAGGTATGTCCGAGTGTGTCCAGGTGTGTTTGGGTATGCCCGGGTATGTTCAGGTGTGTCCAGCTGTGCTCGCAGGAGCCTCTGGAGCGGGGGAAGGCGCTGGAGCTGCTCCGTTCCGAGCACCCGGCCCTATTTAGGGAGGAACAGGAAGCCCTTCAGTGCCAGYTGCACATCCCTGACCAGGGGACACCAGGGACAAAGAGTCCAGCTGGGCCAGTCCTYCCCGCTCGGGCCTGTGGAGAGGAGGACCTGTCCTTGAGAACCAGCATCTGGATCCGGGGGGAAAACCAAACCTGGAGGCAGAAGGTCCCAAAGGGGGGAACACCCCGGGGTCTGCAGCAGAAAAGGGCATGGGGTGAGCCCCAGCGTGGGCCGGGTGTCCCCAGGGTGGACAGGGTGTCCCCAGGGTGGATAGGATGTCTCAGCAGCCCAAACAACCTCCTTGGAGCAGGTGTGAGTACAGAATGCTGSAATCCCCAGAGGTTTCTCCCTTTCCTGTCCCCTCCCAGCGGGAAGGTGGCCCTGCTGTTGTTTCAGTGGTTCCCAGCAGCTCTGTTGTGCTGAGCTGATCCCGTTTGATGCTGGGAATGGGAAGGGCCGGGATGGAGCCTTGCCCTCTGTGGGCAGCTGGGCTGTTCTGCTTGGCAGTGGGTGAGGGTTAAAAACCCCAAAGCTGCCATAATGGTTTTCCCTGAAATAACTGTGCTGGGCTCAGGGGGATCAGCACAAGCTCCATGGGCTGTAGCACTGCCCGGCTCACATTGGGCTGTCCCACCCTCTGAGTACAGATCATGAATGCCATCCCTGGGCATGCTCTGTGCTGCTCTGCAGGTGCTGCCCCTTCTCTGACACCTCTGGGTGCTCCTGAGCACGATTGGAGTCCCTGAGTGGGGCCCTACAGGTCTGCTGCCTGTTCCCACCTGAAATCCATGGGAATTCCRTCTGTTCCCAGCTCCTGCCTGCAGAGTTCTGAGGGGTTTAAAGCTCAGTTGTCCCCAGGATTTTCCTTCAGCCCCATGGGTGTGGGATGTGAAGGGACCCAGCTGTGTGTGCCTGGTGTCCCAGGCCTGTGGGATCACAGTCATGGAATGAGGTTGGAGGGACCCCAAATCCCACCCAGTGCCACCCCTACCATGGCAGGGATACCTCCCACTGTCCCAGGCTGCTCCCAGCCCCAATGTCCAGCCTGGCCTTGGGCACTGCCAGGGATCCAGGGGCAGCCACAGCTGCTCTGGGAATTCCATCTCGGCCCTCCCCACCCTCCCAGRGAAGGATTATTCCCAATCTCCCATCCAACCCTGAAGCCATTTCCCCTGCACCCTAAAGGCTGTGCTGGGTCCTCTGCTTTGGGGTTTGCTGCTTTTTCATTTGCTGTGTTCATGAGTCAACTCTGGAGGCAGCAGAGGGTTTTCTGGGAGCTGTGACACTGGGACATTGTCACCTTCACCTGCCCGGTGAGGGGAGCTCAGCGCTTCAGGCCCTGACTCCTCTTTGGGATTGGGAGTTTTCCTTTGCAGGTGATGTGTTGTCTCCTGTGCCACTGCTGTCCTGGTGGCCTCACACCTCTCCCCACCTTGGCACAGGAGCCTTGGGCACCGTGTGGGTGTCAGGAGCAGTTTCCAGTCCCTGCTGTGACTCTGCAGTGTCCCCTCCTGGCTCTGGCTCCGCTGTGGTTCCACGGGCGGGGACGGCCATGGCTGATTGCAGAATTCCGGGGCTGTCAGCAGTTTTTCCAACCAAAAAAGCTTTTAGCTCTTGGGCACAAAGTCAAGTGCCATTTAAATGCACAGCCATCAAGTTTTGGGGGAAAAAAATCCACAATAATCAGGGAGCCGGTCTGTTTTCCCTCTTYTTTTTTTTGGATGAAGTGCGTAATAAGCTCTTAGCTGAGATAAATCCTAATTGAGGCTTCAGCCAAGGCTGGGCTAAATGAGCAGAGTGGGTCTGGGAGACAAAAGCAGCTCTAGCTTGTCACAGGGAGCCATTCTTCACACGGAAAGAGGATTTGTCATTAATCCTCTTCCTCTTCCCCGTTCCTAAATGCAGCCCTCGTGCCCTTTCCAGAGTCTCCCACATCCATCCCAATCCCTGTGGCTCTGGGGCTGCTCCTGGGCCCTTGTCCCAGTCCCACACTGGGTTTTGGGGTGGCCTTGGCAAGGTCCCTCGTCAAGGGGCACCTGGGCATGGCCCCGAACTCAGCCCTTCGCTCCAGGGCACTCCCAGCTCCCCACAGGGAGGGTTCCCCATGGAAGGGGCAGCTGGCAGGGGCAAAAGGGCTGGGAAGGCTTTGGTATGGTTTCAGGATTTTCCCTCCTGGGAGATGGGGCTGARTGGGGTAGGATCTGGTACTTTGAAGGGTCCAGCAAAGCATCCAACAGTGCAGCCCTTGTGGATCATCCCAGGATCCTGGAATGGGCTGGAAGGAACCTCAAATCCCACCCAGTGCCACCCCTGCCATGGCAGGGACAGCTCCCACTCTCCCAGGCTGCTCCCAGCCCCAGTGTCCAGCCTGGCCTTGGGCACTGCCAGGGATCCAGGGGCAGCCACAGCTGCTCTGGGCACCCTGTGCCAGGGCCTCCCCACCCTCACAGGGAACAATTCCCTCCCAATAGCCCATCCATCCCTGCCCGCTGGCAGTGGGAAGCCATTCCCTGTGTYCTGTCCCTCCATCCCTTGTCCCCAGTCCCTCTCCAGCTCTCCTGGAGCCCCTTTAGGCTCTGGAAGGGGCTCTGAGCTTTCCCTGGAGCCATCTCCTCTCCAGGTGAGCACCCCCAGCTCTCCCAGCCTGGCTCCAGAGCAGAGGGGCTCCAGCCCTTCTGGCTCCTCTGGGCTCTCCCCAGCAGGATGAGGCTGTTCCTGTGCTGAGATTCCAGGGCTGGGGCAGCTCTGCAGGGGGTTCTCAGCTGAGCAGGGCAGAGCAGGGATGGAGGATCAGTTCCCTGCTGGCTCCGGGTGTTTATCCTCCCCAGTCCCTTCTGTTTTCCCCTTAAAGCCATTCTACAGGAGCCCGRGGCTGGCATCACCCTGCCTGTCCGTGTGGGGCAGAATTACAGGAATTAAAGACCCCAGCCCATCCCCACCCTGGTGCTCTCAGCAGCATTTGGGGCTCCCTGACGGGTTCTTGTCCTCAGTTCCAGGTGGAGGGCGAGTGGCGGACCTGGATCGACTACRGCCGCTTCCAGGAGCTGGTCAGGGAGCGCGAGCGCAGCGGCGGCGCCAGGACCTTCACAGCGGCYGAGTACACGGCCAGGACTCCCCCCTGGGCTCTCTTCGGGGCTGCAGAGCGGGGATTTGACCCCTCAGACGTGAGGTTCCAGCGGAGGAACAAGGCACGGGACATCTCGGGGTGCTGAGGGCTGGGCTTGCCCACCCTGGGCTTCGTTTGCAGGCTGGCACCGAGTTCGGGTCCATCCGCCTGGATTATCCCGATGTTTGAAAGGGGTCACGCCTGGATTGAAACCCTCCTCCCAGTTTTTAGGATTTTCTGAATGACGATGTTGAAAATGTTCTTACTGGAGATAAATCAGAGCTGGTTCAGCATCAGGGGAGGGGGGCAGTGCCTGGGGTCTCCTCAGTGGGGAATGTTTGGGGTGGGATATGGGGCCAGAGCATTCCTCGGGCTCCTGGGCAAGGAGAACCGGCCTGTGCTGGCAGCAGAACATCTCACATCCAACAGGGAAATGCTAGGGGGGTTTCAGCCCCCAGGAGCCCTAAACAACAGGTCTGGTCCTAAAGAGACCTGTCAGGTTCCAGCTGAGGGTGCCCAAGGTCCAGCTGGGGGTGCCTGGTGTCCGGCTGCGGGTGCCCAATGTCTGGTTGGGGTGCCCGGTACTCAGCTGGGTGTTCCCAGTGTCTGTCTGGGTGTTCCCAATGTCTGTCTGGGGATGCCCTGTGTCCAGCTGGGTGTTCCCAATGGCTGGCTGGGGGTGCTCAGTGCCTGGCATGGGTATTCCATCTCTCTTTTTAAAACCACCCTCTTTTCCTAAGCTTTCCTTAGGAGTTCCTAAAGCAGAASGAAATAAAGGAGTTTTTCTAGAGTGCCCACGTGTGTGGCTGCCATGCAGGGTTTGGCAGAGGGTGGCAGGTGGGCTGGGAGCACAGGGGGAGCACCAACTTGGTGTCACAGCTCCTTCCTGACACACGTGGAGGGAGGGGAGGCACTGCTGAGGCCATGGGGGATGCATGGGGGTGCCTTTCCTGAGCATCTTGGCAAAAAATCACAGACTCCCAGGATGGCTGGGGTTGGAGGGACCCTAAAGCTCATCCAGACCCAGCCCTGCCGAGGGCAGGGGCACCTCCCAGTGGCCCAGGGTGCTCAGCTGTAGGGCATTTCCCCTTCTGTAGGGTCAGCTGTAAGGTTCTGAAGTAAAGAAAACCGATTAATTCTGCAGAACAGCTCACAAGAGCAGATCCCGTGAACTGGCTGCGCGAGGGCTCAGCTGCAGTTTGGGGCCTGGCGTGTTCGGGGTCCAGCAGGACCCACCCCATTCCCAGCCCTTTGGCACCTCTTCCTCTTCCCTAAACGCCCCCATCCCACACCCACCTCCCTGACAGAGCCCCCCAGTCCATCCCAGTTCCCTGCTGGGCCCTGTGAGCCCTGGCAGCTGCTGGAGCTGCTTTGGGATGGGACTGTGCCCTGGAAGGTCCCGGGGCTGCTGAGGGAGTTGGCTCTGGGTGTGAGATGTTCCATAAATTCCCGACAGGACCTTCCTTTGGAAATCCTGGGGGGTCTGAAGAGAAATGTGYTTGCCCAGTGCTGGGCACCAGTGCCACTTCTCCTCCAGCTCCCCGATCACCCAACCCCTGCTGTCCCTGTCACACGGGTGCCACCCCCATGGGGCTCGGCTGGAAGGACTCGCTGGGATGCAGAAAATCCAGCTCACCTGAAGCAGAGGCTGGACAGAATTGAGAGAATCCAAAGCAGTTCTGTTCATTGCAGGGCCTTCAGGGCCATTCAGGGCAGTCCCAGCCCACCCAGGGGCTGCACCCACAATGGACAATGGCTCACGGGTTTTTCACCCTTTCTCACTTTTGTCCATTTGCACATCGGGGCTGAATCCTCCAATTGCAGCTGCAGCCAATGCAGTCATTCACTCCAACTTGGCTCCCCCAATTCTCTGTTGTTTCCATCTCTTGGGGCCTGGCACAGTGAGGTGTCCTTGAGTTTGGGGCTGCAGAGGAATTGTTTTGTGTAAAAATGGGAGGGCAGGAGCTCAGCACTGCCTGTGGAGTCTGGAGTTAAACACTGAAGAATCACAGGGGTACAGAGACATGGGAATGGAGAAGCTGAAATCCTGAGGCATCAGCTGGAGCTGGAGAGGCCTGTCCTGATCCTCCATGTGCTCCTTCTGTTCCTTTCCCTGGTGCTCCCTGTGTCCCCACATCCCCTCCATCCTACTCCTGTGTCCTTGTGTGCTCCCTCCATCCATCTCCTGATCCTCCTCATGTCCTCACACTCCCTCCATCCTTCCTTATCTTCCCTGTTCTCCATCCATCTATCTCCCGATCCTCCCCGTGTCCCTACGTTCCCTCCACCCTCTCTGTGTCCTCACACTCCCCCATCTGTCCCCAAACCCTCTCTGCTCCCCCATTCCCTCCATCCTTCTCCCTGATCCTCCCCCAGATCCTCCCCCAGGGCTCTGGGCTGGTCTGGCCAGGGCTGGGCAGGGAGGGCAGTGCAGGGGACAGTGTGGGTGACACACGGGACAGTGTGGGTGACACGGGGGCAGTGCCACGGCAATTGCCACAAGCATCTCAAATGGGGCTTTCCCTGCAGGGAGGAGCYAGGGCCACATCCCACCCACCCAGGAGACACCTGGGGCAGGATTTGCTCCTGGATTCCCTTGGAATTGCCTCGTGCTCGGCGTGGGTGCACAAACCCAGTGTCTGCTCACACCCAGAGCTTCCAGGGGGACAGAACACGAGTGCCCATCTGTGGCAGTTTGGGGACACCCTGAGCTGGGGACCCGGCTGGCACAGCTGGAGCTCCGTGCCCATCTCTGGCAGTTTGGGGACACCCTGAGCTGGGGACCCGGCTGGCATGGCTGGAGCTCCGGGATCGTGCTCTGGGATCGTGCTCGGGCTGTGCCGCGCCCGGGAGGCTCCGCTCCCTGCAGGGATTCGCTGCTCTCCAGCAGCACCTCCTGCCTCAGCTGGGATTGC